TCGGACAAAACTCCTTTCTCAAAATGTAAACGTTTTTTTGTTGATAGGTCACTTTATAAATATATCATCAATCGATTTTTCTGAGCTCTGGACATACCATAAGGAATTAACACTTTTATACAGCCTTCTAACTTCATCATAAGGCCGGTTAGGCAACCACCCATAATATTTAAGAATTGGTTCCTGCTTATAATTAGCGCGCGTATATCGAGTTATGGAGTTTGGAGAGCACGAAAGAAGCGCAAGAGTTGCTTGAGGCGCAGCCGAGAGCAACTCTAGCTTTTTCTAGCAACTCTAGCTTCTTTTAGCAACTCTAGCTTCCTCTCGATGTACGCACAGCATGAACCACGACCTTATGTGCGGACACGCAGGAAGAGGATTAAGTAAGTAAGTAAAGGCATGAACCAATTCTTTTATAACATGGTGATAACATAATGGGCGCTAAAACCTGTCTCATTTGTGATTGACTTCAAAGTTCTCACAGAGCCAAAGATCATTAGGATCCTAACACGCCACAATCATTTGAGCAACAGTTGAACGAAAACGCTTAACTTGGTACCTGAAATTGTCAACGAAAAACTCGCTTCTTCGAATTAACTATAAAGAAAATGTAGGCAAACAAAGTCAAAACAAACAAAGTCCAAATACTCAAGTTTAAGTAAACATATCTCTGCTTGGCAAAAGTAAGAGGCTCGAACTAGGGTTTGGATTGATCAGAATAATCTTCACATTGCCAAAACTTAAACAAAAGGAACTTGCACTATTATTTTGCAGCTAATTTGAAAATGCACACGTCATGTTATATACGCCAGCCTTGCGTACATTTAGCAAATAGATTGCATGTTGCCGTACGTCTGTTCAGTAATAGATCACAGATGACGTCAAAATCATCATCGTGTGCAACTTATTTGGTAAGATCAAAACTAGTGGCACACGAGGCGATAGCCGAGTGGGTCACTGATGTTCTTACCACATTTAAACATCTTCTGTGATCTATTACCAAACAGACGCACGGGAACATGGAGTCTATTTGTTTTATATAATAAAGAAACGACGAAAAAAGCTTTCTTTTTATTTTAAAATCTTTCAACATAACTCGAAAGCCGTTCTTTGCCCACTTTGGGAAACGCGAAAAAACGCCGTTTGATGTTATCTATTGTCTATACAAAATGAAGCAATCTCATTGGTTGGTATGCTTAGCGAAGAATTGTGATTGGTCCAAACAAATCACGCCACTGTCAAACTTGAGTCGAAAATCGCTTCTCGTGGATTGAAAACTTACAGCGGAAGCAGAATTGAACTGCGAAATCTACAAATCTAAAGAAAATGTTGAAAAGGCAAGTCAGTTTTTATCATCAGAGCAGCCCTGTGAGCCGAAAAGCTGGGATGGTGTCTTGAATGTTGCAGGAAATGAAAATATACGCTAGGAAAACTTGCGGTTGCGGGCCATTCGATTCGAGTTTTGGATGAAAGGAGCGTTAGTGACGGTGGAAATTTGTGTCCTCTGTGGTTGGTGATTGTCAAATCAGTTTGATATAGTGTCGGAGACACCTTATAGCTGGGATACAGTCGGCCGTGAGCTGTAGTGCGCTCTTCTCTTCTCGCTACTATGCCCTGAATCGGACTGGAACGTTCGCGTCGGAAAACAACTTAAGGTCATGTGTTTATTTAAACTGATGATGTTTTGATGTTTAATTCCTAAAATCAAACTGTGTCAACAATAACTTTAAGACTGAGAAAAGTTCAATTTTTTAAATAAATTAATGACATAAACCTTTTGCTTAGTGGTTTTGTGAAATTCGAGACGTTTAGCAATGTTTTCTTAACTTAAAGTAGTTTCAAGATCAATTTTGTGTTTGGTTTAGTCTCGCTCGACTGCGGACTGAGACTGCTCAAGTATTTTTTTTCAGTCATTTTTTAGAAACGAAACGACTTTTTCTTTCTTCTTCCAGACTCTCGTACCCGGTCCAGTGCCTCGTCATGACTTTTTGTACCTTCTTAAAACTTTCCGCCATTTTAAACACAGAGGGAAGAGCTTTGAACTGATGAAGTCAATCGTGTGGCTGTCCTCTTATAGATAATAGGCGAGAACCAATCAAAATGCGAGAATAACTTGGGTTATTATACAGTAAAGAATTGGTTTATGCTTAGCGTGCGTATATCGAGTTATGGATGCACGCGGGAAGTTTGGAGAGCACGAAAGAAGCGTAACAGTTGCTCGAAGCGATAGCCGAGAGCAACTCTAGCTTCTTGAGTGCTCTCCAAACTTTCCAAGTGGCGACAACATATTGGGCGCTAAAACATGTTTTATTTGTGATTAACTACAAAGTTCTCACAATGCACGGTGAAGGAAAACAAAGGTCATTAGGATCCTAACACGCCACAATCAGTTGAACGAAAACGCATAACTTGGTTTCTAAAATTGTCAACGAAAAATTCTCTTCTTCGATTTAATTATAATAAAAATGTAGGCAAACAAAGTCAAAAATACAAAATGAAAATGTAGACAAACAAAGTCAAAATACTCAAGTCTAAGTAAACATCTTAGCTCGGCAAAAGGCTCGAAGTAGGGTTTGGATTGTTCAGAATGATCTTCACATCGCCGAGACTTGAACAAAAGGAACTCGCACTAAACTCTACGGAAATTTTGCTGCTGAAATGAAACTGCACACGTCATTTTATTGAGAACGGCCGTGCGTACATAAAGATTTTGTTCATGATGGCTCAATAGGAATTTGGTAGGACTAGAGCGCGCGCTATGTTATAATGTGATTTCGTCCATGATAGGAATTAGGTAGGAGTAGCGCGCGCGCTATGTTATGAATAGATTTAGCCAAGACTAAAAGAGGAACTCCTCGGCCGGGTTGTTCAAAGTCCGATTAAGCTCACCCAGGAGTATGCGAAAATGTTGATTTGAGTTTTTGTAACTTTACGGTGATGTTTTCTGTTCATGCTGTGGCATTCTCTTTTGAGTTTGTATAACTTCAAACTAGACAGAAAGAGTGAGAAACACGAAAAATTTATACTTCGAATGATTTTTGAACCTTGTTTAGCTTCAAACAACCCGGCCCTGATTACAACAAGTTAACGTGGCTTGAGTC